TTACGGCGGAGAGATGAGGTTTACTGTGGAATAATCTCCTCCCTCGAGGGCAAATGTAGCATACGGCCCTGGACAACATTCACTTCCCAAGCTGAAATGAGATCGAGACCTTGCTGAAACACCAGAACAGCCAGGGAACTCTCACTTCTCTCGTTGCCCTCGTCTCTCTGCATCTGCCTTTGTATCTCTGCTCCCCCGCTCTCATCTCGCACGCTTTGAACGGTTACAGTAGAGCGTCCAGTATAATCGATATTCTCCCCTCCGTCCAGCGCATTTCGTTGGCGGCGCGAGAGTGGAGGGATCAATGATGCAGAAAGGCAGAAGCAGAGAGACGAGGGGCATCGACAGAGTCAAAGGCAGAGAGCTGAGGTATACTGTAGATGTTTTCCGCGCGGGGATGTGTAGCATACTCGCCACTGAATAACTTCCACTTTGTGCTGGAATGAGATCGGAATCTTGCTGAAATCGACCAAGGGAACTGGGAATCATCCCATAATCATTAAGAACAATCTCTACAATATTGCGGCAAGTCCCGGGTTGGTTGACTTCCCCAGTTTTGACCAGAACAAATGGGGTTTCTCCCTTGATGTGACTTCACCCCATGACTGCGAATTAGGTAGGAATATTCTGTTGCAGGGTCTCGTTTCATTAGTACCGCACCCAAATTCGAACTTCCGTGTCGAAATCAGGGCTTTGACAATCTCGAGAGGAAAACTGTATCTTCGATAGCTACACTCTAGTTCGCTGCGGACGGTTGGGCTTGTCAGGTCAAAGCCGTTCTCTGCCTTCTTGTTGAAGCGCGCATGCGACAAAAAGTGGTAGAAAACGAGTAATACGAACGATATGATACAGTCATATCATTTGCTCGCTTCAACAACTGGTGGAGAACGGGTTTGGCACCGCGCCAAACTCATCCCGCCTGACACGCCCAATCGCCCGCAGCGAACTCTGTGCGACTCCCCAAGAGCTGGTTCCCGGTTCGATCCCTCACTCGCAATCTTCCGCTAAGCCCCTATACATTTGCCCCAAACTAGGACTTTTCAAAATGTGGGCGGGAAGGAGGTAACGCACGTGAAACGGACAAAATCACAATCGAAGGCTTGGCACGGGAAAAATCGCATTCAAAAATTCTCTCAACGCTAAATACGACCTCCCCTCAATTGGATTCTTCTCGTCTCACTCTGACGTTTTGGCAGGAGCCTTGTGGCAGACTGTTACACTTCATTCGGCTTAGGATCCGGCATTTTTTTCACCATTTTCTCAGTCTAAACGTCAAAAAACATTAGAAAATGGTCCATTCAAGAACTTGAGTAATTTTGAAGACAAATTCTCTTGACTAGTTATCTAGGGTTAGGTATGAATAAACGGAGCGTGTCAAGCTTGTTCTTGCTCACTGACCCGTGACGCGAAGTTTGACACCAAAGAAATGAGCCATGTTGCCGTGGGACAAGCCGCTGAACCTCGACTCCCATGGAAAAGTTGGAAGCCACGGCCAAGAAATGGCGCGAGTTTCACAGTTTACGGGTTATGGTCATATACGCTCCTTTTGTTCCCATCTGATAACCCAAATTGTTAGGGGGGACTCTGAGAGCCGAAATCCCAGAGCCTACTGCCGATATAAGGTACCTTGGCTAGGAGGGGCATTTTACATTTCACTAGTTCCAATCGAGCTCGCTGCCTCCTATTAAAAATGTAAATTTCTGTTGAGCAGACGATAATAGGGGCTTTGCTTACCTTGACAAGAGGTTACAGGTCTCAGCAAAAGTGGCGTATATAATTTAAACAAGAACTATCAAAATAAACTAGCGAAAGCGCAAAAAGCCCCTCCCAAGCAGAACATCACCCGGTGTAAACACAGATATAACGAACTCGTCGTTATCATGGCATTGAACCCAGTGCATTCTCAACGGCGATTGATTTTCTTGATCTACTAGCACACAGGTCCTGTCACATGGGGTGGTCGGCATCCCATGAGTGTGACGCTGAACAAGCCTTGTAGTACACTACGACTGATCGATATGTGACGTTGGTATGCTAGTCTAGGGAGGTTATCTCTAGGTGTGTTTGGATTCTTGAGCGGACCAATTTCGAATACTTCTTATTTTTAAGTTCTGAAAAAGGCGAAAAAGGCCGAATGTGAGCCGAAGCCGGATAAGGTGTATTTGTCTTGTAGAAACCCTATTAAATGCAATCATACTGATCATTCATGCCTAGTTTAAGAAAACGCCGTGGGTGGTCTGATGATCCTCGCAGCTTGTGATAAGTATTAATCATAGTTAGAAATGGTTTCTGAAAACTGACATCGAAATATTGGTGTGACAGAAAGTTCGTCCACCCCTGAAATGTACTTTCAATGAAAATTGAATGAATCCTGACCTGAACCAGATATGTAAGCGATTCGTCCTCCAACTCTCCATATAGTGATCGCCGAGGCTGTGATTTAGATCGTGAACGAAAACTAGTAACAGGTCGTATAACCTGCTGTGGTTGTTGTTGTGGTACGAAAGCTTGATTTGATGGTCCTTCAAACATCGCCATCGGCCTTACATCATACATGGCTTGACTGTGTTGTACTTCTACTGTTTGTGATGTATGTTGAACGATATATCGTACACGACTTGTTCCAGCAGGCGCCATGATTGGTTGCGACATGGGTGGCGCAACAGAATGTGATGGTGCACTTTGTACGTACTGCTGTGAAAAGCCTCTAACAACCTGTGTAGGTACTTGCTGAATATATTGCTCAGGTTCTACAGATGTTCCTAACATTTCGTCTACAACAACTTCATGTGCAGCCACTTGTAGGCTTCCAACACCGTTTCTCATCATTTCTACATCACGATCCTCATCAGGAAGCAAGTACACCTCTTCGATATGATCAGGTTGCTGCAAACGTCTAGTTTTTATAAAGTAATCTAAAACTTCGTGAGAAATCTACAGTATCCCTGAAGTAACAGGGTGAGATCAAAGGGCTGTACCTGTTCAATTTGCTGTATTTGATGATAATTTCCATATTCATCTTCATAAACCTCATTGTTTAATGGCTGAATCCACATATTATCATCTGTTACCATATAACGTGGATAAGGACCTTGTGGTTGTGGGACCACATCAGTACTTGTCCCCGGTTGACCATGGTCAGGGAAAAAGGCGTTCACTTCGGACGCCTCCAGCGTTTCCCCTCCAGGGTCTATATTGGGGACATTTGACATGGCTGAAATAATAATAAGATTTTCCAAAAGATATCACAAAACAATCAATACATTCCGATTTCCGATCATCAAAACCGCCGCGTATCATTGCTGATGACACAACAATTAACACCCAACTTTCAATGATTACCATGCCCTAAGTGCGTTCGCGTGGGCGATCCATGCAAAATGAATTATACCAGGGTTGTCGTTTGAAAAATATGCAAATTACAAAATAAATTCATGAAACGGTCGATCAGCAAAACCAGAAAAATAGGAAACACTTCAAAAAGCACGAAAAGAATCACTGCGAAAATAGCTTAAAATGTGAAACACAGTGCGCGCCATGGCCGCGCCACAACCAACGATAATTTTAAGGGGTATTTCCAATGTTTTCCAAAAACTGAAAATATCCTCATGTAGAGGAGCATACCGCTGACAAAATGACACCAAAAAGTATTTTCAGTTATTATTCTAAGAAATAAAACAATAAAAAATGGATGAACGGAAGCGCAACAGACGGTGGTTAGCGCAAGCCAACGCCAAAGATGCTAGACATGACGATGGAGTACGGGCAAATCGGGAGACGCAGAGAAAGGAAAATTGCCGATAGACGCCAGTGATGTCAGACCTCGAGAGGAATTGGTTGACGAGACAACATGGGCAAAGTGGAGACGCCGTCAGCGGGCGGTCGCAAAGCGTTCGTGAAGCGAGTGAGACGTTGCTCACAGCAGCGGGTCCTGCAACGATTACAGATGCGAGCGTGATGGATGATTGAGATGGAGAGTTGCCAATGATTTCTGACGTTCGTTGCAGTCCATTCACCTTGTAATGTGTAGTGGATAGGACTTCTAAGCGATGAAGTCGGTCCTTACTTTTCAGTACGGTCGTTCTGATCTACTTCGTGTATGGGCTGCAATGGTCCTGCCTCAATGGGTGGTCGCGACGCGAGCGCACGCATCTGAAAGACAAAAACCCTTCTCGGGGAGATAATGATGGATGCGACGCGCTTGGTTATTCGATCATTCCTGGTAATCCTTCAATGTTTAGCGCTTGAAGATGGCCTAATTTCCATCCGGGCGTCGAATCCTATCTTGGCTGCCTGTCTTCCAGAGGGGTAGTTTTTCAGCCTCCGCCTTACCTGCAAAGGTGTAACGTTGATCATGAAAAGAAAACTTTTAGTGTTGTGTTTTGTGTACCTTTTAGATGATAAAATCAGTAGAATAAAAGCAATTCTGAATGGGAGTTGGATACGTGGCGTATCCTGGAGAGATGAATTAAACCCTAGGACTTTATTCTGTTCATTCCCAGCATTGCACTACTGCTGTCAACGACCTGCTCAGAGCATGGCTGCAGGAACTCTCGTTGAAATTCGCTGTTTCGCATCAGAGCTCGGACCACCCACTGACTTCCTAAGTGTTTTCGTCCGAACCCAGTTTCTAGAGGTTTGTAGTTCTAAAAAATGCCCATGTGGCAGGTTGCTTGACCGGAAGGGAACGATTTTCTGCGCGTCTGCTCCAAACGTTCACCTTTCCACGTTAATAATCTTTGTACAATCTTGACCACAGGGATAAAAAAAAGCTATTTTTACCTTGTCAGAATGATCACAAACAAGTTCTTCCATAGGTGTTTGCGATGATCAGCTGTTAACAGACGGATTACTAATGAGCGTACACAGTAAGACTAGCGATGTGATCATCCGATCAGGGGTCAAAAAGTGGGCGCTAACCGCATACCCAGGGCTATTTTGTAGTCTTGTAATGCCACGATAGGCACTAATAACTTTAGGGAGGGAGGAGGGGGCACACCTGTAAGCACTTGTCAGCACACAAATTCTGCAAACTGGATATGCCCCCCCCCTGACAAATTGTCAACACCGTGTAAGCCTTTTTATCATCTGTCCAGCACCCTGTAAAGCTCTTGTCAAACTTGTCAGAATGGCTGGCCTTGGTTTGAGAAAAGAAATGGAGAAAAGGCGTCCCAATGAGGCCAGTACCATATCGCAAAATTTGAAAGGAGTTAACAGGGTACTTGACAAGAATCTACAGGATTTGCAGGATGAGTCACTCGACGCGACCCCGAGCGTAACCTCATATTCTTACTCTCACTTTTTTTTTTCTTGTTGGACCGCATTTAGTGCCGCATGGCGTGAAGAAAGGATTGTGAGCCAAGGAATGGTGTTTCTGCCCACGCGTAGGACAAAATCTATGGGTGGGCAAATTCACTCATTTTGGCAAGAACTATTTCTTACATCATGGGGAAAATGGTCTGTCTCAGTTGGAGCCTTCAGACATTTAGACCTTTCCGTGGGGATCCTGGCGTGAATAGCCAGAGCACAGAGAAATAGAGGACTGCAGCTAACAAAGCATTGAAAGATACGGAAAAGACTCGGCGGGCTCGGAGCCTTTTTAGAGAGAGGAGTACGGAATGGGTGGAGCCGTTTTCATGCGTGAAAAGTTGAGATTTTTAAGGTAATAGTCGTCATAGAATGTCATGCAGATGAGAGGCTAATGCCGTTTGGACTCCAGCAACTTCGGCACCGAGCTCATTTTTAAATTGCCTAAGTCACCAAACCCGCTGAAAACATGTACACAAGGGTTATTTACCATCGTGATTACAATTATGACACTCATTCTTGGCGCTGGCGCCAAAGGGATGACACTACGATTACCTCTTGGGCTCAGCCTTAGCGGAGCGCAGATAATCGTAGTGTCATCCATTAGCGCCAGCGGCAAGAGTGAATGTCATATTCGTAATCAGGATGTTAAACTACCCCTACATACAAGTTTTTAGCGGATTTGGTGACTTAGGCAATTTAAAAATGAGCTCGGTGCCGAAATTGCTGGAGTCCAAACGGCATTAGCCCAGATGAGGGAGAGAGAGAGAGAGCGCAGAGAGAAAGAGATGATTGGCGCGTAAAAGGCGTACGATACTATGATTTGATCTGTCTGAAGTGGTAGCAGGGTTGCTATATAGTGAAGAAAATGGTGGAAAAAGTGGAGCGAAACGGTCAAATTAGAAGCAAAGAAAAACAAATATTGGGAAAGGAATACACTCCAAAGCAAGATGATCCGTTTCGCCCGGTATCGCAGACAGAAAAACCAGCAAAAGTCTCTGTTCTACAGGACTCGGAAAGCAGTTTGAAAGAGTTTCCCGCTGGCATCGTGCCTTTGACTGATACTGTGGTTTTCAAAAACTACAGTACTTGGCTTCGTTGCGGGACCTACGACCGTACTCCCGGCACATTATAAGGCATTTCAAACTGGCCTAATTTCGAGTGCGCATTCTTCTGGACTTGGAGAAGTTGATAAACGTTTATTAGATTGTGAAGATGAAAATTATTGACTTGGACAAAATGTTTTTGCGTTGTTTAGGTTTCACTGCTGAATATATACGCGCAGGCCAATTTTCTACGAGACCAGCTAAGGGTGTTATGTGAGCACTTCATCAGAAGCTTGAGCTTACTCACGGTATGCAGGAGGAAATACTGTATGCTTCCGAAAACCGCACACATTCTACAATTGATAGTTTTTGATTGCTCCACTCAAAGATGCAGTCCTAAGGCTAGGGTTCGTACTCAGTTTGCTGTGAGGTCGGGCAGTTTCTATCTTGTTGCTTCGTATGGAAATCTAGATTAACTCCTGAAAAAAGGAAATGAGTATGGATAGACCAGCGTTCATACCACGAGGAATCAGAGCAGAGACCGTAAAATATTCGCATATTTGAAAGTATTTACTGCTAGCACCTTGTGAGCCTCTGCTTAATAAAATATCAGTACTTTTAAAATACCAGTTTTTTATAGTACTTTTGATCGAGTTGATCTTAAACCATTCCAAAAGTTCTTTTCCCTGTAGCATGTAGGAATGATATGCTAACTTATCAGACATTGTAACACTGAACCCTACAAAAAGGACAGAGAGACTGTTTTGATCCACAGCATGATCCTCTATTTGACAAATGTCTACCTTCCGCTCTCTCTGAATCGAGAAGCAAGCGCCTGTGAATTTAGGCCAGCACGGAATGCCGGCAATGTGCTACAAGAGTGCGGTAGCTGGGCCTGCAACGAAGCTAAGTACGGCAGTTTTTCGAGAAATTCCGGTCCTTCACTTAGTGGCTTATGCTCGCTGCGGACGCCGGGTATGTGACAAGAGGATCGTAATTTGCCGCGCTGCTGGGCGTCGCGTGCGACGTCCCGCCCGCAAAGGACGATGGTTTCAGGCAGTAGATGGCGACAACATGCAATTAAGGACCGAAAACAGTAATGAGTGTCTACGATGACGGGGTCTACATGAAGTCCGGTGCTTCATTCGACAGGTTAAAACGAGTTATGAAAACGCCGCGCCCATCGCCGCGCGTGGCGGTGCGGCGAATTACGATCCTCTTTACCGTCTCCCGCGGGACGCCTGGGCGTGTCAGGCAGTATGAGTGTGTCACCCCGTCAAAGCCGTTCTCTGCCTTCTTGTTGAAGCGCGCATGCGACAAAAAGTGGTAGAAACGAGTAATACGAACGATATGATACAGTCATATCATTTGCTCGCTTTAACAACTGGTGGGAACGGGTTTGGCACCGCGCCAAATCATCCCGCCTGACACGCCCAACCGTCCGCAGCGAACTACACTATAGGTACCCGTATCCATATCCATGTAGCACTACAATCGCTTCATATCATATTCATCTTCGCTTCATATTGTGCTTCACAAATGAAGCGATACGAGCATTAACATCGGTCGGACATTTGTGGGCGAGCGGGTGCGGTGGGCATCCGGGTCGGTAGTCTGCAGCTTGACAATGTGCTGTAAGGGTACAATCGTGGAAAAGGCGCCACGCGCCGCCTGCTTGGGGCGCAGAATTCCCTCCTGCTAGGCTTATTAATCCTACACGTATTAGAGATTATAGTGCCACTTGCCTTTAAAGCGAATCAGTTTAATTTGCCCGACGACCGGGTCTCTACACCGGTTTTACAAAATGGTTTTGTGTGTTAGTGGATTAGCGCCGACACATGTTCCTTAAGAGGTTATGC